CTGACGACAATCGAGTGCAAGGAAGATGACTTATATCTGAAACCTATCGAACTCATCAGTACATTGGCGGGGACCATCGGCTTTACTTCCCTTCCGAAGGAAGACGTAACCAAAGACTTTTTACTGGCGCCTTCAAAATCATTTGTAAACTCAGTGATGTAAAGAAGCTTGGGATTGAACACTCAATCTTCTACTTAGTAAGCGAAACCAGCCACTAAAAAACTGTCTGTCAGAACTATGGACAATTATAGCAATACGCTGCTTGCAACGAATGTTCAATAGACTAGTGTATTTGCAAAATTAGAAATTGTCACTCCACAGTGCTCAATCGGCTAGAAAGGCTAGAAGTCAAAAGAATTAGTTTTCCCACACTAATTTCCAGATAATTTTTAAATTGTTTGTGCCAAGTTTCTAACCAAATGAGATAAAATTTTGGGAAGCTTTTCAAATGTTATGCGAGAATTCTTTAGTTTAAATAACATGTTATTCGATTTGATTTCATTATGATTAAAATCCATTCACTGTGATGAAAGTTACAACAGTAGCTACAAAAACTTGCATGGATACATGACCGCTTTTATTTTTATGGTCATCATTTTCCAAAGATACTTATATCATAGGGCATCAAATGCTCTTTCGGAAAACGGATGTCCTATCTTGGATCCCATAATTGTGTTATACATCAAATATCAAACATTTAAGATGGTGAAAATATCACCATTTTTTCATAAAGAACGGGTATTAGAAGAATGTTAGGCATACCAAGCTAATTTGACTACAAATGAGTGAAATGTAAAATAACTTGGTCCATTGACCTAATAAAAGCAGCAATTAAAAAACACTTCAAAACTAATTGCCAAAAATGCTTAAACTTCAAACAGAATCAACAAATCAAGTCCAAGACTTTTTTTTCCAAAACAATTCTTCTTTGGCTATTACGTACCAACTGAGAATTTTAAGCTGTTTCTCAACTTGGTGTACTTTTAACACTTCGGCAATTGTTTAATTAGAGATTTCTAAGCCTGCTAGTATGGTTTTGCATCATTGCTGCGCCCTTACTGAATGAGATAAGGAAGGCTATACCAATAAAATTTGTCCACATCCACACATCCAGAACAGGTACAGCTCTTTGCACTTTGCTCTTTACACAAAAATTATTATGTTATTAACTGATGTCCGGCAGGAACTGTTTTTTTTTTTAATCATTGAATTTTAAATTTCTGGTTTGACAACCGTTCAAATTGTTGTCTATCTCAGCATTAAAAAAAAGTAAAAATTCCATAGCAATTTATTTTCGATACAGTCCTCAATATGTTTAAATCATGGCGGCTTTACGTGTATAGCTGTGATAGTATTACATTCAGTGGAATACATTATTAACAACAAATGGGTTCCATTGTTATAGAAACCAAGATTAGCAATTACCAGCACCATAGGAACATGGTTCCTATTAGCTAGTGACGATTTTTGCCAATAACAGTGAAATAATTTTCCTATCGTATAGAGGGATTAAGCTATAGATTGCCGAATTAAACATTCACATGGAACGCATATTAACAAATTTGTGATCAATTTGTGATGTCTCTTCCACTAGCGTATTTTACTACACCTTATGCACAACCGGTACCCTCAGAAGTGACCCATTAAATATTTTATTTGTTGCGTCTATTTTACCAATCCATTTTACTTCTGCTGCTTTGATTTTAATACAAATGAGCCATGTTTTGCTATGCTTTCTGGTGAGTTGCTTATCACTCTACTAAATGACGAATGTTTTCCTTTCCTTTTACGCTAGAATCTAAATTTGTCTGGGCGCATTACGGAATGAGTTTTTCTACGGAAGTTTTTCCGCATGTTGGTTCTAGTCAGTGTGAGTAACAAGGAAATTTTACACCTATGTACATCCATATGTCGTTCAACAAGTATGGCCTCCAAAACTTGCTTGGTTCCTTTACATATGTATTGAGGCCATTAAGAAGAAAGTAACAAAAGGGTATTCGTTTAAAGAGTGTATTATTTCCATAAATTCAAAAATAGAAAATATGCTCGCTATAAATATGTATCATGTATGCAAACCCACTAGCGCTAGTCTGAGAAACTGACAACATGAACACCAACGCTTGATACCAACCGCATGGCAAGAAAATTAAGTGTGACTGTATACTGTAAAATTGCAATTCGCAATAAATACTGGCATAATTTTTTCTTACAACTCTGTACCTAGTGGGAACCGATACTACTGTTGTGGTTTCAGCAATAAAGTGGCGCAGTGAACGAAAACGAATTCAAAATCACACTCTCACTTATTTCGGTCCACTGCACTATGGGCAGAAAGTTTCAAAGGAAAATGTTCCTTGCTCATTCAGTTGTTTGATTTAGTTATTTTTTATTGGCCAAATGCAAGAAAAACTTACCTTTTTCAAGGCTTAAATGTTTAATTTCAAAATATCTGGAAACGTATAAGAAAAGGTAATGGAATCATAACTATTTAGAGTTATGCCAAATATTGCTATTTGGTGTTTACATAAGTAGTTTAGCTGATGTTTTGCCATTTCCCAGCAAACAAGGGGCCAACACAATATTTGGGAGCTCAAAACTCGATATATGCCAAATTATTCAGCCGAATAATATGGCGGCCTAATATTAGGTGCAGCACTAATCAACAAATTTGGCAGTGACAGTAAAAATATCATATTTATTTAGTTTCAATTTAATCTAAAATAACGCTAATTTACCGAAAATATTGGATATTTTTGTGTGACTTATAACAAAAATCTATTACATTGAATGTTAGTTGCATTTCCTATAATCCTCCGCAGCGAATGATATAAGTTGACCATGCAGACAATACAATGATTTTTATCTTTTTTTTATTTCGTGTTCTGTCTACGCTTTCGACTATACAGCAAGATTTTTACTATATTTATAACATTGTAGAACGACGCACACACTAGCCTCGATTTTCTCCAATTCCCGTTCAGCAGACAAAGCATACGAAATCAAATTATCGTACTATGAGTGCTTCCTATACGCTTTTAGCCTATCCTTATTCCAAAGCATCGAGAGAACAGTGGAGAAAACACAGGCGTAATGGCGCAGTTAAGATCCATACAATACATTTTTGAAAAAAATCAGAGTTATCCTTACCCTACGCTTCATCACCCGAGCAGAAGAAAATAACTAATGAATACCTAATTCTCTGATCTGATACCAAAATTTGGTGTTGATCAGGATGACATAAGAGGTAAAATACCAAAGAATAATACCAAAAAATTGCATGCAAAATACTTTGAAATTAACAAACATTGATATTTTCATACCAAGAGAATATGTATTGTGTGGTATTTTTTTGGTATTGCAATTGCATAATTTGGTATTGGAATGGTATTGTTGGAACATTTTTTTGGTATTATTTTTGGTATTTTACCTCTTATGTCATGCTTATCCATACCAATTTAAGGTATAAAGATATTCGTTCCTGCTCGGGCAGTTTCTTGTCTCTGAGATCACTTAATTTTGCCAAATATTGATTTCAATATCAATTTTTTTTTTAATTCATTGTTGGTAGACTGGTAGAGTTCCAAGCACCTCATTCATTCCCCTCAACAAAGTGTAACAAATTGTAATAATTTACCACACTCCTTCTTTTCTATTGCGTTACGTAATTTTATAACAGATCCATTATGCCACTCTTGCGCATTTTGCTCACTGCTTGGATGGTCTCCTCTAGCAATGGCAGACTCTTCTACTTCTTCAACAGGAATACCGTATTCCTCTTCGGTGTCTTCCTCGCCCTCCTCCTTTTTCCAAATGTTCGCTCTGCGGATCTTCAGTTGATTCTTTAAGCCTTCGTCTGAATATTGTCCTCTTCAAAATCCGCAACGTGTTCAACGATGATTTGCGTCTTCTTAGGATCTCAAATACGTTAACTGCTCGGAGAAAAATCGTCGAATGTTCCTTGCCATGACTTGGGATCAAGTTTCGTCCGTAGCTCCTTCGGAAACATCCGGTTCCCTCATTTTGATCGAAATTTTGTTCGAATCCAGTGTCTGGCTCCTATTGACCAAATACGCTATCATCAGAACGGCTTGTTTCCAGAAAACTTTAACATTTCCTGAATTTTGAAGCATACCTCTAGTCTTCTCGACCAGTTTGTTCGATCGCTTATCCTATTCAGATCAGCACTGTACAGCAACTCCTTTGAATCTGATATTTTTGATTGATTCTTTTTTGTTTTGTTTTTAACATATTCAAGTATAACAGGACCAGGCATGGAAAATCGTTTACATTCATTTCATGCATTCATTTACATTCATTTGCCTCTAACTTTTTTCATCAACAGCATTCCGCAAAATGATTTACAGAGCTTAAGTAGGTTTTGTTATTAAATACAACTTTTGCCCATAACTCAAATCTGTATCTCTTATGCATCACGATAGTGGATTTTGTTCGCTCTGGTTCGTCATGCATAAGAGATACGGATTTGAGTTGTTAACAAACGTTGTAGCTTATAACAAAACCTACAAAAGCTCCATACATTATTTTGCGGAATTCTGTTGATGAAAAAAGTTAGGGGCAAATGAATGTAAATGAATGCACGAAATGAATGCAAATGATTTTCCATGCCTGAACAGGACCGTTGCTGCTGTTGTTGTTTCTTTATTAAGGATGAAATTCCCAGTATAACAGGTTACACTAACAGGTTCTATTCGATCCCCTTAAGCTTTTATGATTTCCTTAAGCATTGTCGAAAAGGCATCAATAATGTTGTTCTGTATATAACATTTTCATAAGGATCATATAGAGATGATGTAAGAAACCCATACTAGTATTTTATCTATTTGCTGTTTAGATTGTGTGCATTCATTACACCACTTCATACTCCCAGATGTAATACAGAAGGTTTCTATACATATAATTTCTATATACCCAATACAGAACTTACCACGATTTCTCCGTAGTACAACAATTTAACATTTGTTTCCTTTTTCTTCTTCTAGCCTACGGCTGCAATGCGACGGGTGAACGCAACCATAACACAACCATAATAAACTCAGCCATTCTTTTTCAATATCATAAATCGTAATGGATGTGCCAAAGCGCATTCAACCGCTGCTGACGCTGGATGTGAGTGGATACCATAGATACTGCAACTATTTGAAGCCTGAAGCATTCAGTAAACCTTATCAATTATAAACAAAGGCAAAACAAACAGAGCACAAGCAATGCCTTTTGAGATGTGTTTTGTTTGAAACCATGGATGGTGGTATGCTTCAAGGATGAATAATTTTATTACTAACCATGTATAGAAGCACTGGCAAATATTTTCCGACATCGGTCCGTCGGTTAGTTGGTAATTAAATTAAATCCTCTTTGAAAAATGCCGCAATGAATCATAATAAACAATAATACAAATAGTGAAATCTCTACTTTGGCAACACACAACGCTGCCTACCTCAACCCATTGTTACATAGTTGTTTGTAAAAATCCAACTTAAAGATTAGTTTATAATAACAGCCTGTGAATCGTTAAAAAAAATGCAATCTACTTGTTGCCAAATCGAGAACTAACTGTAATGCTTGTATTACAAGAGTGACCTTTTCTAAAAGACCCATCCCATGACAATTTTAATATTTGCTCATAGGCCTGTGAATACGCTTCTTTTCGATCAATAGATCAATATTTTCAAGAGAACCTCTATCATTCATCATCATTTTTAACTACAATTTTGCACATAGCTGTCCAATGTTCTTTTCAAATCTTTAAAAAATATGGGGCATTTATGCATATAATTACAGAACAGAAGAGGAGTGCAAAAAAATCGGTGAATCAAAAAGTGGTAGGTTTTTCTGCTCAACAAGCAATGCGTTAAGGTAGCGTTCCATATGGGCTTTCTATGCACACTCGCACTATCATACACTGGTTGAAAAAATCATGTAAATTTCTGCGATATATAGCGCACACGTTTTAACGCTACATTTAGTGTTAATAAGTGCGATTTTCCATAAACCAGCAGTATTGCACACAAGCTAACTAACAATTTCGTTGTTTATGCCGACTAAAGCTGAAAATTAAACGAGGGGAGATATTACACGATGGTTAAAATTCATTTTTTATGTAGCCTGCTGCCTATCTTAACTGCAGGCAGAAGATGCTTTCTACCGCTAGGTGCGCTAGTGTTTGCCATTGAAAAATGGAATCACTTTCTGATCCGAAGTTCCGCTTCTGCTCTGTGATATAATGGCGTTTAATAACACCCTGAGTGTACTGCAAATTGTAACTAAAGAGTGTACCCAGCAAAAAGTAGTCAACATCATCGAGCTCCTATATTTATGTTTCGAGCTCTCATAACTTACATGCTAACTATTAACCATGACATATGGTCTAGGATCTCAGCTTTTACTAGATAAATAAATTTAAATGGCCTCGAATATATATATTAGACAGATGCAAAATTTAAAATTTTCGCTCCACACTGCTCAAACGGTTCCACATCGGGTCTTGATAAGCCTCCCAAAATTTGAATTTATTTAGTAAGAAACTGACATGGCACAAACCATTTGAAGTTTATATGGAAATTACTATGCGGAATCCATCTTTTTTGTTCTGCAATAAAAAATTATAACTGTGCTTGTAGTAAATTTCTTTAGCTACAACTTTGTTCAATAAAATGTAAGGAACAAAAGTTATTAATGATTCAAGTCACTGATGTCTTATAATTTCAATCAATTGTTCAGCAGGCAACATTGGTGTTTCTGTTGCGTATAATAGAGCAAAAAATCATGGCTACTATGCCACACTGCAGAATACAGTGTTGCCCACAAAACAGCTGCTTGATTATGTCATAAGATTACTCATCTCTTAATAGTTAATAACTATTTAATTTGACGTTTGGCTGTAAAACGATCAAGGGCAAATTTGTTGCTGTGTAAATTTGCTATAAGAATAGTTATAAAACTTTTTGACCGTGCAAAATGGGAAAAGCCTAGAAAACGATGAATAAAAAGTTTGTTTTTCCTCTATATATAATTATAATTTGCATAGAAATTTTAAATGGTTTGTGCCTTGTCAGTTTCTTAAAAAATAGTGCAAATTTTGAAAGCTTAATCAGCATTCATATATATACAGCCATAAATGTGTATATTTTTGAAAGATCTGCCTCTCCGCTTTTAAAACCGTATAAAAATCAAAAATCGGATGATTGAATGATTGAGTTACCCATAATAGTATACGATAACTTACTCGGTTTTTTTTAACAATAACTTTATATTTTGGGGGTGTTAGAACAATTTCAAATGTGATTTCCTGTTTTACTCGAATAGACTAGCAACCTACAATAGGTCACATAAAAATTGATTTAGCTGTGTAGCACCGAGTAAATTCCCTTGAGTTAATGATTTAATATACTTTACCTTACCAATCAGACTAAGGTTTTGTTGTCCTCTGCTGGCCGAAGAAGTCGTCTCCACTCTACTCGATCCATAGCCACACTTCGCCAACCTTGTACCTCACCTTCTACTTCGATGATCCACCTTGCCCGCTGTACGTCAATTTTTACAATGTGGACGATGGATGGTTCTCCCAGCAGCTGTTGCGTGGATCATTCGCCTCCTCCACGTTTCGTCATCCATCTGCACTCCACCGTAGGTGGTACGCAACACCTTCCGTTCGAAAACACCAAGGGCATAGTCCAGGTCTCGTGGTCGTAGAGGACCACCGGTCTAATCGGCGTCTTGTAGATAGTCAACTTCGTGCGGCGGCGAATTTTATTCGACCGGAGCATCCTCCAAAGTCCAAAGAAGGCACGATTACCTGCCATAATGCGTCTTTGAATTTATCTGCTGGTATCATTTTTGGCGGTCATCAATGAGCCCAAATACACGAACTCATCGACCACCTCGATTTCGTCACCGCCAATCTGACCCCGGGGTGGGAACATTGAACATTGTCTACCCCAGAACCTCTTTCTCTCATGTATTTTGTCTTCGATGCGTTTAAGGCAAGTCCAATCCGCCTAGCTTTAGTCTCCAGTCTGATGTACGTTTCCAGCATCATCTCAAAGTTCCGTACCATGATGTCGATGTCATTTGCGAAGCCAAGAAGCTGGATGGACTTCCTGAAGATCGTGCCACTCGTGTCTATCCCAGTTCTTCTGATCACACCTTCTAACAATTAATTACAAACAATTACAATTACAACAAACAATTAAGTTGAATATTAGACACGAAAGTCCATCACCTTGCCGTAACCTCTTCGAGATTCGAATGGACTCGAGAGTGTCCCCGATACTCGAATAACGCACATCACTCGATCACATCACCTACTAATAGTTTGCATTCGTCGTCAAACCAGTCATTTTTTCGGCCTGGGATCGCAGTACCAAGTGCCGCTGCAGCAGTAAACACTAAGATTTTGGTTCCGTGTTCGGTAAATTTTACCGAAATCAGAACATCTGAACGTTAGGTAAAACTTCGACCTTCATTTTAAAGGTTATTGAATTTGAAAATAATTTGAAACCATGTTCAACCTTGTTTAAATGATCAAATCTTGTAATTTTAGTGGAGATTTAGTTTCAAAGTAGTTGAAAAGCAATTGAATTTAATTGCATAAATTTTACCGAACAGTTTAGCTGTTCAGATTTCGGTAAAAATTACCGATGTCGGCGATAATTTCTAAGTGTGTACTACATATGGCGGAACGGATGTCCCTCCAGCCATCTTCAAGAGTATCTGCGCCAAACTAGTCTTCCGTGGGTAGTGAAGCTTCCAGCTGCTGCGCGTAAGCCTGGGGAACTCGGGCGTCCCGTAATCGCTCAATGTTGGGTCGCGGCGTTCGACTTCGACGGTATTATGCATCGTCGAGAGTTTTGAGTGCATGCATACTGCAACTAGGTAATGGTCCGAATCTCTGTTCATCCTGCGTTGATAATCCTCCTGCGGATGCTAATAATGTCGGAGAAGAATTTTCCGTCGATTAGAACGTGATCAATTTGGTTTTCTGTGTGTTGGTCAGGTGATCTCAAGGTGGCTTCGTGGATATCCTTGCACGGGAAAAGGTACTTTGGACTACCAGGGAGAGGCTACAAAACTCACGCATCGTTGGTCGTTGTCGTTTGATACGGCATTCAGGCTGTTTGGCCTGATTACCGGTCTGTATATTGCCTCCCATCCTACCTGAGCGTTCATGTCGCCGATGACGATTTTGACGTCCCGTTGCGAATAGCCGTCGTACACCTGCTCCAGCTGAGTATAGCACGCTTCTTTCTCGTCGTCGGATCTCCCTTTGTGTGGGCAGTGCACGTTGAGGATGCTGAAGTTGAAAAAAACGGCCCTTAATCCTCAACTTGCACATCCTCGCGTTGATCGGCTGCCAACGAATCACGTGATGGCGCATCTTACCCAGCACTACAAAGCCGGTTCCCAGCTCGTTGATGGTGCCACTGCTTTGGTAGAAAGTAGCCGCTCGATGCCCGCTTTTCCAATTATTTTGTCCCGTCAAGCAAAGTTTCTGCAACATGGAGAACAGACGCCGTTTTGAGCCGCACCTCCATAGTGAACAGACGCTCGGGCTTGGTGAAGCATTTCCTCTATCACTGTACTATGGTTACCACGCCAGTGTTTGCGCTGCACCTCTTCACTTTGCTATTGCCGGACTGGCAACACTGCCCAGGCATAACAAAGATTTTCCTGAGGAATTTGTCAGTTTCCATCGGACCTTTAATTCATCATTCGATACACACAATCATATTGATTTTCAATATTGATTAATCAGACATAAGTTGACATGATGCACTATATTCCTGAATGCGGGTTCGAACAGTTTTTTCGGGATTTAAATTCGTAAGAGGGGTCAGAAAAAAGTGGATAAATTGATACAATTGATGAATACACCTTAGCCTGTACTAATTGATAGAGGTTTCTTGTGAATGTTTATTACACTTATTGAAAAGAATCGTACACTCAGACAATAACATACAATGAAATGTATTCGTAGAACTGATTATATAAAAGCACATATTCACGTTACCCTATGACGGAATGAAAATTTGGTCCATGCTCCTTGTTTGAGTCTATCGCTACTTGTCTCAATTTTATGTATACCAACGACATTCTATCAAAAATAAAAA